GCAATTTTGACTGAGATGGCATATGCTAGAACTTCAATAGTATTTGTTAAAGTACCATTCCCTGAAGTTAAAATTCACTAAGAAAAAGTTTCATAAGGAGGCAGAACAATTCTAAATTAACCTAATTATGTCTGCTTCTTTTTTGCAAAATAAGAAGTTGGTTCTATTCACCAGAAAAGACAAGAGGAGACAGACAATAGTAGTGAGATAGTCTTGGAATAAAGTTAGGGTATTTTCATATAAAACTAAAAAAGATTGGTTAAAAGTATTGAAAATAACTTCTTGTATGAAATTGCCATGGATTATAACATTTTCTTAGATTTACAGTATGGAGTTTTCCAATTAATCAGGATTAATATTTTTCCTGTTAATATTATCATGGAAAATTAATAACCTAATTACCAAGACTTTCTCCTTCACCATTTTCCACTCCACAAGGCTTTCTGGGTACAATGGAAAAAACAGACCCAAGAGTCATGTCACACAGAGAACATTCTTGTAGAAGGTTGGTAAACAGTCTTACACAGTAAAAATTTCCCAGCACCATACCTCAAGGAGTCATAGCAAAAGTCAAGATACCCAGAACAATCTGGGCAAAAGACAATCATCTTGGATGGAAGACTTACAAAGCAAAACTGTTCCCATACAACTGTAATTACATAAATTATATTCCCTAATGTTTCAGTGTAATATATTTTGAAACTTTTTCTTAAAAAGCTAGTTACCTAGATAAAACTAATAACCTAGAACTCAATTAAAATAATAAACTGGGGGCCGGGGATTTAGCTCAGCAGTTTGGTGGCCTGCCTTGCAAGCGGCAAGGACCAGAGTTCAATCCCTGGTACCAAAAAAATAAAATAAAATAAAATAAATAAACTGGTATTTTTCTAGTTAAGAATTTTATAGCAATAACAATTTCCTAAAACATTAGAAATAGATAAGTTAAATAAATTATATGTATTTCACCCTGTACTAGTCATAATAAGTAAATGAACAGAAGGCATAGTATTTAAAATTATCTTTCAAGATTTGCCTGTTTTGATCATTGAATACTTTCAAACAAGAATAAATGTATAAAACATCACTTGGTTTCGAATATACAAATCATGTCATTCTAACTGTTACTACTATAAAAACAATAATAGCCTGGATTCAATAACAGGCTTAAGATGTGAAAAACCAGCTGATATATCAAATAGACTTTCTAAAATTATAACTTTCGACAATGTCTTCTTTAGCTTCACCTCTAACTTCCTGAGCAAGAATTAAATTCTCCTTTCTCCTCTATACTTTTTTCAACCCATTAGAGATCTTAGAACTTCTAGATTCTGACTTAGTTGGTTTGAGAACTAATATTTTCCTAGTACACTGTAAATAACTGCAAAGTAAACTGTACATCAGATTTATCTTGGTTTTTGTATTACATCTAATTCAATTTCCAAAATTTAGGCACACAAAAATCGGTTGAATGAATAAGTCCATGGAGAGCTGCATATTTATTAGTGTTCTGTGACTGTTTAATTTAAAATTTCATAATTTTATATATTTTGTAACACCACTTCTTCAAATAACCTGACTTATACTTAGATTACAGGAGAAATCAAAAATTTTTAATCCTATAACAACAGTTTGTCCAATACTAAACAGCAATTATTTGCAAATTAATCAGTGAATTTTCTGTCATTGTGTTATTAATTGTTACAATGGCTTTTCCAATCTTGGTTTTTTTATTCTCAGGCCCCATACAATAAAAATGTAAGTACCTCAAATCTGGCATCTTTTAGGCAATTCCTACTTGAAAGAGCTAAGTAAAATAAGCTTTGTTAAAATCACCTTTATTTAAGTATAATTCAAATATAATACACTGCGTATATTTAAAATATACAAGTTCATGAGTTTGGGTAAATTTATACAGTTCTGAATCCATTATTATCATCAGGATAATGAACATTCCTATTATCCACCAAGTAATCATTCCTTCTCTCTACTCCCATCCTACAGAATCACTGCTGTACTCTATTACTTTAGACGTATTTTTTTTTTTTT